ATATGACCCATCTCCTTTGCGCTTGAATTTCTCCTTGTATAGTGGGCATGTCTTTAATATTTCATTTGGTTTTTAAATCGTAAAACCATCCAAACCCCAGGAGGAGCATAACACCGGAAAGTACTGGAACTTACAGTCCAACTTACTCCCACTTACTCCAACAGTGGCAGCCTAAGTGTTTTTCTTACTGAGAGAGTTTTGCTGTAACCCATCGTGTGCTAACTGTTCTCTGTAACTGTGCAATGCAAATACCACTATTTCCTTGTACACTCCCCCTGGGATATATAAAAGAAAATGGGCATTGAAGACACAGTAATGTAGCAATACATTAAAATAACACTGAGTATACAATATAAGTGTGAGGGCTGAATGGAATTGAGAAAAAGGGGGGTTTAAATGCTCATTGGAGCCTAGATTTGGCTATAACTGCACCCGTGTTTGGGAGGCTTCTAAAAGCAAATCCCCATCCTACACTTGAATACACTGAATTATTTCCATTTTCAAAAAACAGCAAGCTTGCTTTCGGATTTTCGAAGTGAATAAGACTACAAGCTAAAGCCCTGACTAATGGCCAAAATGTAGGATCCACCTCCTATTTAAAAAACAAAACGGAACAGATAATTACCTATTTTTTGCAAAATACAAGTATTCTCAAGACAAAAATTGCAAACAAATGTGTTATGGCAACAATACAACAATACTTGGAAATGTAGTGGCTTGGATTAATATAACTACAGAAAGGGCTAAGTTATGTGACAAAAATAAATCAATGTTTGGGTTAAAATAGCTACAGTAGTGACATTACTTAAAAAGGAAAGTCCCGTCACAAAAAAAACTATTCTGGTTCACACAGGACACAAATTGTATCTTGGGTAATAGCCTGGTATTATTGGACCCTCCCTATTCCACCCCAACACCCTCTCTAAACAGGCTTTATCACTTTTAATAATGAATGGTTCACAGTCAAATTGATTTGTTTGGGATTAAATAAAATGACTGTTTGATTGTATCCTTACTTGATGAACAGGTTAATTACGTATGTGTTAATCATGGTCAGGAGTAAGAAAAGGACCATTAGACAGGTGATCTTAACCTGTTGATTCCAACTGTGTGAGCACTGCTAAAGATGTGGAAGAAACAATCCTGATATTGTTGTGTCTTTATCTGAGCTGTGGGAAATCAGCTTTCCCAACAGCTGAGGATAAACATACTTCTCACAGAGCTCGGTGACTTTAAGCAATCGGCACAGATTGAGCGTAAGAATGCTGTCTGGATTGGGCCTGACCAAGATTTACAATATGTTATAACAATTCCATCCATGGAGAGGAAGTCATTATGAGTGCAAGGATTATTTTTATGAAACTGTAGTCCTATATCTTTAAAACAACTCATGAGTATACACTTTTATTTTGAAAATAAAAAAAGGCTTCCTAAAACAGCTGGGAACTAGTTTTTAGCATTACTCAAATAAGAGGATTTAGTCGCTTTGATGGGAGCTATTTTCAGAGGTGGATTGATACACGTATGGTAGGCAGGACAATGTGGGACTTGATCAAATGTAACTACTGCAAAAGTTGATGGCAATGTGAATATCCCCGGGGCCAATGATGAGTTTTTCACCCAAGATACTATTTGGGAGACTTTTCATTCTACTCCCCCCCCCCTAAACATCTTCTTCCCTCTCTTCTCATCTGACCTCTTCCCTCATCTCATTCCTCCCATCCCTTTAGCTCCCACTTCCTCTCCTCTTCTTCCCCCCAAGCGGACATCACAGGTGACAGAGGCATTACCCCAGCAGGTAAAAACAGGTCAAGTGTTATTCCATGATGTTGAAATGGAGGTGGAGGAGATATGAGAGACATTAGAGGAGGACAAGGGCTTGGAAGTGTTTAAAAGACAGTGACAGTATTTCAATTAGAGATGAGAGTGGGAGTTTAAAGAGGTTTTTGCTATTTTCAACTTTAGCCTACACCCAACCACTCACTCAACCTCTGTGTTGCCTTTTCATTTCTCACAAAATGATTGAAACATCATGGACTTCAAACGTATTAAGACGTTATTTTACTAAGGGCGCTCCCAATGAGATGTGTTGTCCAATGAGAACATGAATTTAGATTGTTAGCCCTGTCTGCACATCTATCAACTTCCCCAACAAGTGACAGGAAGTTTATCAATATTTTATGGGCGACCTTAAACTCTAATGGTACAGTATAACAGGGAACTGCCTCACTACCTCTCTACTTCTGTCAGAGACACTCGCATCAGAAGATATAGGACCACTTGCTGCAACGAATGATTACATACTTATATGTGGTGTAGTGCTCTGCTCTCCCGAGGTTTCCCTGGGGAATCGTAGTTCGGCAGCACAGGGAAGATAAATGAGACAATTAAACGGTGCTCGATGGCACCTCGGTGACTAATGGCTTTCCCTTCCTGCTTGTCTGAGCGCAGACAAACACAGTAGTAAGCATCAAGCAGTGTGTTTACTGTTGCTTTGAAAGACACGTGCTTGTGTGTTTATTTGATTGTCTCACTACTGTATGTAGGCTGGAGGTTTGTTTCAGGAATGCATCTGCCAGAATTGAACATAGTAGAACAGTGAGATTACAAGATGAAACCAAAAGAACAGCTGCAGTTTGAAAAAAACAATGATTATTTATTATATCCTTATCCTTTATTTAATTAATGTACTGAACATCTGTATGGTGTTTTTTGTTTGTTTTACATGAGAATTTCGCAAGAAAAAAGGCAACACAAACCTTTAAACTTCTCCCTATAGTGTTTCCAGCATTAGCTGTTAGCATGTTAGCAGCTAATGTTAGCAAGTCTGACTTGTATCACTTCTTTATACATCCATGGGTAATACTTACGTGCTGGCACACTGAATACAAGTTTGATTAAGCAAAGCAAAAGTTAGCATGTAAGCTAACTTATTATGTTTTTATGGCTCTGTATACCCAAGACGACTTTAACAAATGTGCTGGGTTAATGTAACACACGTTGTTTACAGTGACTACTTCTGTGTGTGTTTGTGGCAGGGGTGGGCGTGGGGTTTTCCTGCCTTTACTTCCTGTTGTTCACCATATTAAAGGCTAACAGTCCACTGGGAGTAGACAGATAGGACAGTCATGTGGTAATTAGCTCTGCTCATTAAAAGTGACCTCAGGCTTTGTTCTGCCATCTGGATACACTGTCCTACCTCCTGTTAGACATGTGTGTGTCTGTGAGTGAGTGAAGGACATGATTTCCTGGATGGGAAATGACCCCACCTGTGGTATATTGTTATCTTCAAATGTTCCTCTCTACTTAGATATCTGTGCTTTATTTGTGCCTTGTGTAGCAGCTAAAACTGGCGTTTTCATTCATGTGAAGAAGAGCTTTTTGCTGTCATTTCTTTTTTTACTTTGATGAACTTTTAATATTCATACCACTGTTCAGTGTCTTCTATGTTGATACAGCTAACCATACTCCCTGGGGTTCAATACAAATTGTAAAGCTCTGACTCACCACAATACTCTTTGCATCCTAAAGGCTTCTTTATGCTTTTTGTCCCAAATGCCTGTTCAGAAATTTGAAAAAGGGCATTTGTGTATTCTACAACCTCAGCTTGGAATTAGTCGCAGAATGTCGCAGTGAATTCAACTTGTTAAAATACAAAAGAAGAGAATCAAGGGCATAACCTTAACACATCAATGTTTTCTCATAATATTATAAAATACAATAAAATAAGTAAATTCATGAAAAAAAAGAGTCCAACTCGCATCGTGTTGTGCAACAAAGTAACAATAAAGGAACCTTGTAACACTATGCCGCCTCTGCTCATCACATTCATTCACATGTGAATTACATTCTACAGAGCAAATTCACTAGGCCATTGTCTGTGTGTGCGTGGTCATCTGATTTTTAATTATATTTTAGAATGTGAGGGGGTGGACCACGAGGAGGTCTGTTTAGCCTGTAAAGAGAATAATGGCCACATGAAATTCCATTCATCGTAGACCTAAAGGAGTCAGGTTGAATATCGAGGACAGCCAACATATCCAAATTGAATCAACCTCTTATCAAACATCTGTATTGACATCTGTCATGACATCACTTATGACAGTAAGTCGCTCTTGCCTGGCGTACGTTGTGGTAAATAGGAATGGCAGCTATCAGACTGGTGCAGGGGGAGCAGTGAGTCATACCACCCTGTTCACTAGAACCCCATTTCCTTCCCGATCTCGTGTGATGTGAGGGAGTGAGGGAGGGAGAAACAGACACAGCGGCAGGGTGAGACAAGTGAGAAGTATGCACGTCTGCAGCATAATTCATGGTGTATAGGAGGGAGTATTGTAGTGTGTGTGAGAGAGAAAACAGCAACAAGAACACAGTAGGTTTGTTGAGCAGCTCTCTGCAGGACAAAAGCATCTTTCTAAGACACTTGCCTAGTCGATTACAGAGAGTGCAGGCAGCGCACATTTCATGCAAGTTACACACGCTCCAGTTCAGATTTAATATATATTTGCTGCTTGGATTTGTAAGAGCCAATACAGCAGTATTGTTGCACATGTTTATTTCTTTATATCTTGTCTATTTTTATGCAATTTAATATAATCTTACTCTACTTTAACAAGGTTTAATAGAAAAATGCTAATTTGTTTATTGTAGAATTAATTTGAATTCTGTTTTTTTTAAGATACAATGTGTGTGAAACTATGTTTATGTTATAGATGTTAACTGTCAAAAATGATACGGTTTGTAACCTCTTAAAGTGAATCTACTTGTTTATTAAACATTTTTTTAATGTTTCTTTAAATTCTGAAGGACTTTTACAGGGCTAAATGAAAAATGAATTAAAAAAAAAAAGGTTAATTTATTTCCCATCCTGAATAATCCAATGACCACTGAGATCTATTTTCGGGAAGCCCCAACTCCCAAAGTGGGAACCACCAGTATCAAAATTATAGAATATTTCATAAAATGTGAAAGAATTCAGAAACAGAAGAAGTGAATTACTTTACATTTATTTTTAGTAGAATAATAGTTGAGATGTCATACTAACTAACATAATGTTACACTGGCTCATACTGTACATCAAACCATAACACAACATAAACAATCATATTAAAAGCAATTAAATAAGTATGCAAACAAACGGATTAAGTTAAATAATATAACGAATGTGTACCACTTGAATATAAATAAATAGGATTTAAAAAAATCTTTCAAATCACTGTAGCAGAAACTGCAATTAGCTTATGATTCATGTTCTAATAAAAATCATCGAGGGTTACTAAGGTTATTTTAAATGTAGGCGCTCACTCTCAAACACTCTCATATTTACATGTGATTCAGATGGTGAGTTTATCACTGACAACTGCTATCAAAAATAATTAGGTTAGTGTGTGTGTGCGTGTGTGTGTGCGTGTGTGTGTGCGTGTGTGTGTGTGTGTGTGTGTGTGTGTGTGTGTGTGTGTGTGTGTGTGTGTTTCCATGGACTTTTTTTGGTTTAAATATTGATACTGCAGTGTGGGGAAAAAATATGATTTCTACCATAAAAAAGCTGTTTGGAGGTTATTTCAATCTCTTCACCACGTTAAAAAGGAAGATGAATCGCAGTAAAACTAAAAGTCTAATATATAACATTTAATAATGTTGATCTTTTAATTATAATAAGTTACTAATTTATATACAGACCAAAAAATGCTGTCTATCAGTGTAAGATTCAGCAATGGAATGAGGATTATGGGTAATTTATTTTGTCTTCGTTGCAGATTCATCAAGGTGCAAATATCTGGCAGGAGAACACAGAGTGCAACCGGAACACTCAGCTTTCCCCGGGACAATTACTGTATAATAGGCGGCAGGGGAAAGCCTTGTAGTTTTCTGGAATCCCTCTGTGTGCGTTCACATTTTTTTCCAGCTTCATTTTCACATTCTAGACTGGCATTCAGGCCTCTAGCTCTTTTCTTTTATGTGCTCATATGTTCTGTTTCTTTATCAGCACCTCTTAACATACTGTGCATCCCTAGCTGGTGTCATTGCTCCTGTCAGATTGCGTCTGATCCAGTTGGGTGAAGGAGACGGTGGGGGTGTTGGCGGGGCGAGACACAGGCAGCCATTTGTACTCGAGGTCCTGAGATGGCGGGTCCAAACACCAGTCGTAGTGATTCAACAGGTACATGCACGCTTCCTGGGCACCAAAACAAGAAAAGAGCAAGCGTTCTTATTATCGCTGCACCAACCTAAATGTAACTGGATGATATGAAAAGTTAAAATGCAACAGTGATGGAAGTGACGAGTTATAGCAGTTGAAAAAAACAAATGTTAAACCAGAAGGCAAAGCGAGAGACTCCGCCAACGCTAAATAAGTCTCCAACTTGTGAAGCTACAGCCTCCATAACACTCCGTTTCTTGTTTGTTGTTATTTGGCAGATTTGAAAGTAGGAGTGCAACGCAACACATTTTAGACGCCAAGCTGAAACTGAACATTTGGTCCCCAGCACTTTGACTCATATCTTAAACATTTTCTGAAAATCTGTGATCATTTCAGTATTTATGGCAAAGCTTTGGCCGGTGGCTCCGGGAGACGTATTCATGCCTCTTATAGAATAGCATTAATTATATCCTGATAGATAAAAGGGAGGCTTTTGGTTAGATTTGAGGACAAAGTAAGCTAAGTATGAAGCATTATATGAGGCTGAGAAAAGAGGAGATGTCTGAGTAACACTTAACTGACTTTAAACAGGAAGGACAAGTACATCATTCTTTATTTATAGTATTTGATTCTTTTTCATGGTCTTATTTATTTTAAGTAATGTATTGTCAGTTTCTTAATTTAATAGTTTTTTTTATTATAACAATGCTTATTTTGTTGACTTCTAGTGTGAAAAATAATAAATAAGACTGTATAATTACATTCCCCCCCCCCCCCCCCAA